AAGGATTTATGTAACCGTTCTGTGCCTCTGTCCAATTTCCTGATGTAACATATATATTGCTTTAAATGAGGAAATGGGAATGTATTCCTGACATGCAAATAATCATGGGGAAAACTAAAAGTTGTACAGTTTATGTACTGATTGCTTTTAATTTAGTAAAATGCTTTGAAATAGATTGTGTCAGTGTCTTTTTTTTTCTTCAAGCACAAACTGTACTTAGCCATTCATTTACTCTTAACTCTCTTTTGTTACAGCTGTTTACTTTAATTGCACGTGCTTTAGTCTTATCTGAACGCTGGGAAAATGGACATGAAATTGGACCTTTGTTTACCCAGAAGCACTAACATTAAAGAGGTCTTGTATCACATGTGTTATTACCCTAATGAAGTGATCAGTTCATCACTGAAGTACTGGGATATTTGTTTTATTTATTGAATTGCTGTTCTGTCCCGGTTGTGGGAGATATTTGTTAATCCTTTCTATCACATAAATGATATGGAAATAGGTTTAAAGTGGAGTGAATGAGAGCATGGCTACATAAACTGCTGTGCTGTAACCTTTGTGTCATACATTTGAGGATATAGCATTTACTCACACTGGAATAAACTGAGTAAACTTGAGCTTTACGCTTTTTACATTTCAAAATAGAGAACTACAAATAGCATTGCTCTGTACCTTAAGACAGCCTCTAAAAGCACAGTGACATGGCTAACCTCTCTCGTGGACAACAATAAACTTGAGGACTTCATTTAAACCACGACATTCTCTTGTTCCTGGGACAATAGAAACACAGGCTCCAGATTAAAGTCAATGCAGGTTTCAAGGTGAATGGGAAGCCTTGAGGGTTCGGTCTATAGCTGAGTCTGGCTCTCTGGAATTCCAAACAAAACATTAGCAAGACAAAATAACTAAGGCTTCTTTGTCAGTATATAAACTGTCTGTCCTTGCTCTAATGCAACCCCATGGACTTACTGCTGAGGCCGACAGTATCCAGAGGGACTAACAGTATTTAACCCAGGTTCAGCTAGTCAAACTAGTTGTATACCTTTCCTCCTCTTCTCTCCTTAGAGCTCCTTTCCCTGATGATAATAGACTACACGGGTCATTTTAGCATCATTTATTTAATCCAATGGTACTTCTTCCAGTGAAGCTACGTGAAGTTTGGCACTTTATAACGATGCAGTAAACTTTCTATTGTATCAATAACTGACTCTTCTTCAAATGTTGAACTGTTCAGACCAAATATTTAGATTACACCACTTTGGGCTGTGGAAAGCTCTGATAACTGGAGTGCTGCTGAGGACAGACTTGACAGGACAGAAAGACCAGTGTTTTCTCTCTTGAGTTTCAAGGGGGAACGAGATGAATGAAAATACAGACGTGTCTCCCAAGGCAAGGACAGAGTACAGTCTAAAATCTTAAGATATTTTTAAAAAGGCCAAAAGGATAGTTATTGCAGTAAGCCAACAGTAAGGCAAAAAGAAGTCACAGCATTGTGTGAGTTACACACAAAGGCCTCTACCTTACACTACAGTAGAAGAGGAACCACAACAATAAGTGACAGTTTACCATTCTGACAAAAAGAACTGGATGTGACATTTTCCGATCGTCTCGCTGTCAATCATGACAGTTTGTTTTAGAGTTTATCTGGAATTGGGTTATAAAAGGCAGATAGTGATGACAAGGCTTTAGACAGATTACCTGCAATTTTGCCAATATTCTTTCTGCATTTTTCATCCCAAACATTCTCAGTGTTCCCCCAGAATTAGGTTCTTGTCACTTAGAATGAGCTCATGAAACTGCACTCCATCACGAGACACTAAAACAAAGGACAGCAATTATGCTTTAAAATGATTGGATCAGTTGGCTAATGCAATCTTTCATAAGGCAACAGAGTGGTCAATATCCAAAATGTAGACATTAGTAAAGGCTTTTCTACTTTGTTGTTCAACAGCTTTATTACTCATTTCAACTGTACTTTTCATCCTGTATTCTTTTGTCTGCGTAGCATTACCCAGACGATAGTGGGCCCTGTCTGGCAAAGGAAAATACTAAATATTGATGAGCTTTTCGAAGTGAATGAGGGTCCTTAGATGCCCCACCTGTACTGTGATGCTTTAGTCAATAACCATTCTGGCTCTCTGAGACTTGTGGAGGAGATAACAGTTTATAGATTTCAAGTTTTGGGCCTGCCTTTATCTCCTGCTCCCATCTTCTTCCCCTTCACTCTTCTCATCCCCATCTACCACTCTCACTGAGGGTGTTACAAAGGGAAAATGGTGTTATATAAATCCATGAATCATTGAGTGTTTATGATGTAAATGTGTTAATGTGCTTCTAACCACATAATCAGTGGCTTTATTGTATCATGAAGAGCTAGTATTGTAGTGAGATCTCAACTGTCCAACAGGAATGTTTGAAAGAAGTAAACTATTATATTAGTTTATATACGGCACTTTGCAAAACAGTAGCAACAGTTGGATTTTAAATTAAGAATGATGAAAGAAAAATGTACCACAATAGAATGAAATATTTCAGAAAATGGAGACTTTTGTGCTGGTTTAGGTTGGTGGTGGCATATCCTGCAATGTGCCATTAAAGGCAGTGACTTTATTCTGCCAGCAGGGGGCAGCATTGATCAGGAAACAAGGAGCATTTGGTAAATAATAAAGTGACATTGTGGAACTGAGGAAAAGTGTGATTTCTATTTAGATAAAAATGTCACATTCTGATAACACTTTCAATATTAAACTTATTTTTCACAGCTATAAATTTAAAATAAATTATAAGTATAATATATGTCTATGCATTTACACTCCTCACACTAAAGGACAAGTTTAGAGCAACACTGGAAGGGATTTCTTTCACCTTCATTTTTTATTAGTTCTGACCTTTTGTATTGTACATTTTTTAAATCTTGTTTATGTCTTGCTTTTAATCTTATTTTAAACCAATTTGTCCGGGTGCTACATACTTTTAGTTAATAAAGCTCTTTGACAGAAATATCCAAATAGCTCAAAAATACACTGGACTGACTGGGAACAAAGAGTGGAGACGGCCAAGACAAAAAGCTGCAGAATTCAGGAAGACCACATCAGTCAGTTCCACTTCATTTCCAAACTCCAGGTCCAGTTTAGGCCTTGTCCAAAGGGGTCGATACTGAAAACACAGCAAATAAAGTCTTAAAGACCAGAGATCAACAAGAGAAGCCACTTGTTACTTTTGTAATTTGTGGTTCTTGGGATCAAATAAATAAAGTACGCAATAAATAAAATGACTCATGTTTTTCAGACAAACTTCTGGTGTAAGCTCTCTGAACTCTAGAGGACTGTCCTCTGTATGCATGCAACCTTGTCAGGTGTAAGCTTAATCAGGTAAAAAAGAGATGGAGAGGTGAGGAGACCCAGCTGTCTGCAGAGAGGTAGGGATAGCAGAGGTGATTATAGTCTCTTTCACGGCTTGTTGCCTCTCGCAAATTACATTTACTGGGGAATGGCACCTGTGTTGATTGGTACACCACGGAAAACTCCCGTACAGGACGAGGGGAGCAAAATTACACTCCATCTCTTCCAGTCTGCATACTTTATTATCGCCAAATCCCAAGTTGACATTCTTAATCGAGCCAGGGAAAACAATGTGAAAATAGAGATGGGAAGTGTTTCTTGCTCTGGAGGTGAAATTGTTCTAATGTGAAATGATCCACAACTTTTTTAACCTCAGGAACATTTCAATGCCACATTTGAACTTTTCTAATTAGTTACCAGCACTCTTCATTTGTATTTAGATATCTCGCCTATGCAAACTAACATTTATTATCACTAATAATTGCTGTAATTCA